ATTTACATCTGACCATATTATACCATTTTTTCTCGGGTGGAGAATATAATTTTTGTACCAATAAAATAAATAAATTAAAACTTATTCGAGATAAGCTTTAACATAATTTCATTAACAATATTTAAAAAATAAATTTTGAAATATCATACATTTAAATAAACTTACCGAAAAGTGTAGCTATTTTATGCTGAAATTTTCCAAATTTGCATTATACCATATATAAATAAAGCTTATGCGAGAAATCCAAAATTTAATACCGTATCTGATGAAATAGAATTAAAATAAATGCAATTTTTATTAATTTGACAAAATATTGCAAGTATAACGAGGCGGCACATGTTGTTGAAATGCAATTAATCGATTGCAATGATACCAAAAATATCCTCGCGCAAATAAACAAATAATTATTCCTGCAAATATAATAAATAAAGTCACTCACTGGTTGATGACACTGCTCCTGCACATTGCTACTACACATTGCTGCTGTACACTGCTACTACACATTGCTACTGTACACTGCTACTACACACTGCTACTGTACACTGCTACACTATCCTGCTGCTCCTAAAAATTTTACATTTTGAATAAAAAAGTATAAAGATAACTAAAATAAATACATTTATATACATATATGTAATAGTGTTTTGTAACGTGAATGAGTGTTTATAGAAAATTATGCATAATTTTATGTTTATTATGTGTTATTAATTTGTACAATATTAATATCAAAATTTGTATTAATGATAATTAAAATATATTTATACCATACGTGTATAGAAAAATATTAATGTTGTAAAACACAAATTGTAATCTCTCTTCCAAAGTCATAAAATGTAAAATAAAATATATCTCGACTTCTCTAATAAATACAATTTAATAAATATCTCGTAATAAATATGTATCTCATAATATCATACTTAACACAATATAATATAATACCTAATAAAATTTAGTAATATATAAATATCTAATATGTGACAAAATAAATTATTTTACCAAATAATGACACCGTTACAGCTTATTATGTCTGCATCCACTGCTCTACCTAATAAATAAATATACATAATAATAAATACGGTTTGTAAAATATAACATATAAAAAGGAAAAAAATAAATTATTTTACCGAATAATATTACTACAGTCCGTTGCATCTATTGCTCAGAAATAATCACTCGCGCAGATACAAATCGATCAAAAAAATTCATCTAATTACGACAGCGCGCGTTAATTAACACTCATCATTTATTATTGATACGACATTCCCGACGCGGATAGAAATCGCAAGAAACATGGTGGCCGCTTGTGCCGTTTTGTGTGGCACTACGTTTCGAACGGATAAATCGCGAAATAGTTATCGTTCGCTACTTTATACGATACTTCCGATGCATTTTACGCGAATATAACAAAACAATGATCACTCGACAATTTGTACGACACTCCCGACGCATTTTCGACGAATAAATCACGGCAATCACTCGTACACGGCTCAACCGACTTGTTCGCGAAAATGGAGGGAAAATGGAAAGTCTTTGATCATGAAAGGAAAGAGTTGAAACAAGTGTCGCCACCCTACGCGATTCGATTCTTATGCAGCCGCAGCAATTTCATGGGGATCGCGACATCATTTTTGCCAATCTGTTAGTGTTACTAGCTACTACACTTTCTGCATTCTATTGTTTTTCTTCTTTTACTTTTTTCCCTAAGCCTAAATATATTGTCCAGATTTTAATAGAATTATATTATATGATTATGATTAAGTTATTAAATAAATTTAATCAAATAATAGACGATTATTGTGTATGAATTAATTGTAATATTAAAAAATACCTCTTGAATTATTAAAATTGAGATTGATAGAATTATTAGTAAAATTTGTACAACAATTATTGTTAACAGAATCCAAATTCTATGAATTTGATGAATCTAGAAGGAAGAGTAGTAAATGTTCTACGATTATACTCTCTGTTAGATAAATAGATCAAGATCTGTTTCATTTGAAATGCAGAGTGCAGCGAACAAAGTTATAATCGGGAATCCATATTCCGAAGTCAACGAGAAGTTAATTACTATTAAGTACCTCAATTACTTCAACAATCCACTTGACAATACTGATGCTTGTTCAATCGTACGCGTTTAGATAAGCCAATAACTGAGTAATCTATCTTTGCGAACAAAACGTTTTGACGAAGACGTTGAGCTACGAGCGTTACAGGATGCTTTCGATCGCGATGCACGGCAAATGTAATATCATGATGTTCTATTCGGCGCTTTCTAGGTCCGCGAAACTGTGCCCCGCGACAAAAAGTGCACATAAAACAACTTTATGGTAGTCTCATATCCTGCATTCTAAATATGCACGGTATTATTAATGCTTTATATTTCTAGTTAGACATTTTTGGGTTAAATACATTGCCTCTGGAAATTCTATAGTGATGATTAATTAAAAAATCTAAAACTATTCAAATAAATAAATTTTTAGTTAGTTAAAAAGTTGGTTAATAAATATAAAATAACAATCTTAAACAGAATTTGTGGTCCAATATTATATTCAAATTATTTTTAATACGCTTTTAAAACGCTATATAGACTGATAATTGCCAAATAAGTCTTAATTTATGATTATTACTTTAAAGTTATATTTAATACAATCTCGAATATAAGATTGAACTATGAAATCCGTTCTAAAAGTCATCTTGTGTTGATTTGCGTTTTTTGTTGGAAAGCACAAGACTCGTCATACAACTCAAATTTATGTTCAAAATTGCTTTAAATATGATCTTAAATTGACAATCGCAAATTATGGCTTATTTGATAACGTACACTTCTTTCCTATTCCTAGCGCCTCTGGTGGCGACTAATAAACTAGAAAAATATAGCTATCAATGCGCCGTATTTCCCATCTCCCATTATTTCGGCTCAGGTTGCCAATCCTGTTTTTCTATTCGTGTTTCAAGTGATAATCGCTCCGTGTTCGTCGGGTAGTTAATCGCTGTGCATATTTGATTTATACTTATATTCCACAAAAATTAATCTTGCGTAAACAAGTATCAGAGAACAAATTGACGAATGATCATATTACTAAGTATCAGTATGATAAAAAACTTGTTGCTATATTCTTGTGATCGGAGGATCGTTGTCGTTCGTTGGATTGCGTCGAGCTAGTTTCTATCGGTACGTATACATTCTACGTTTCATAATATTACAGTTATTGTACGCAATATCAGAGCGCAATCGACGAATATTATTTGGAGTTATAAGAGAATTATCAAACAGTAACTGCAAAACATTAACCCTTTTTGCACAAAGAGCGTACATACCGTGCCAAAAATATTCGCTGCGGAATGTACACATCGAACCAAAAATATTAGTCAGAAGTAAGCAATTAGTCTGTAAGTAAATATTTGCGCGCTATCTAGAAAACATTTGAACGTTTGCAAAACGAACATACTAATGATTGTTCTAACATAGTTATGAAGTTGGTACGCTGACCATTAGATTGTTTCGTGTTCTTATGTTATCGTATTGAAATTAATAAGATCTCGAGATACGTTAATTTTTGAATAACGGTTAAAAATTGTATCGGCTATGATTAATGTTCATTTTTTATTTCTTTCAGGGACCGAAAATACATTGTATATGTAACAAGTGTCAAGTCGAAACGAATCGGTCATATTAGTGTGTTAATTAATGCGATCGCGATTAAAAGCAAAAGATTAAATTGTTTACTAACCTGTAATTCGTGTTATCACATAACGTTACAACATATACCGTGTCGAGACTACCGAATCGGTCGACGAGTGATCGTCATATTTCCGTATTTACTTGATCGAGGTGCATCGTGTGTGCAATAAGCGTGCAAAGTGGCAAGTCGTTAATTAGTACGCGAGATCATAATTAACGGCGTGTTTCCGATGGATTCGTACGTGTGTGAGAGATTGTTTGGAACATAGTATTGGCTAGAAACAGGAATGCGGAATGCGGAACCAGGATGCAGGATGCAGGATGTAGGAGCAGCGAGGTGGCATCGGCGATGCATCGACCGGTGAGTAAATTCATTTATGATATTTGCACAAATGTTCATTTATTTGCGAGACGATCTAGTATCACCGCGTTGTAATAAATGCGATTTTTAATAAAAGCCTCATGCATTCTCGTGAATTAATTAATAAAAGAGTGATATTTGATTTGTATGTTATTACGCAATATGATAAATTTGAAATTTCTATTGCGTATATTGAAGCGTGTCCAAAGATGAACAAATCTATTTATTATACAAATAACTCTTTATTTACTTGATATGAAAAGCAATACTTATTTCCTCATAATTTTTCACCTCATAAAACTTTATATGTCAAATTATTCGACAAAATCTGTTTAATTGTACGAAGCTTTAGATACATCTTAATGAAAAATAGACATAAATATAAAAAATATTAAAAATATATTTTCACAGAAGAACAGAAATAAGTTGACGTTTAAAAAGAATAAATATAAGTTTAATTATAAATTCTCTTGTTGAAATTATATAAAAGGACGGAAAGTATCCAGTTGTAATAATTATTTGCATCGTCTATTTAGACTCAGCGCATTTGGTAACTATTTTGTTATGTTTTGCTCACTAGAATAGCTCAGCACTGTTGTGTAGTCTGCTTTTGTGAATAGTATTCACCGAACTGTTGAACGACAATGGGCTACGCATGGGTGATTGTACGCGTTTATTAGCTTTGTGTTTTATCTTTTAATCTACAGAAACACACGAACATAGGTAACGGCAACTTTTGCGAAATTGCCACTAATTACATAGCATGCAAACTGAATTTCAACGCTTATTTCCTCCTGGATCCAAAAACACGTTATTATACAATGTGTCCCATATGTCACACAGTAAACCGCGAAAACATTATACAGAATGTCCTGTATATTTAGTATCTCTCTCTTTATCACTGAAAATTTCCATTTAAAAATTATTTTTACTTCCATAAGGAAAACAACAAAACAATCTCTAATTGCATACTTTTCTCAAATTTTCTAAACTGCTAATTTATTTATTTTTTTTATCTCATATAGAGCAATTAAAATTGTTGCTTTCTTGATATTTTGAAGAATTAGTTAAACAAATATTGACTCCACATTTTGATAAAAAAAAAATGTTACTGAAATTTATTAATTAACATGTATATAACATGTTCCATATTTATTATGTATTAACGGATTCCGCTACTCCTTTCTTATTTTACAAAACACTACAAAGTTTTATACATTTACATGTTTATTGGAAACAAAGATAAAAAATTGTACAGGGTGATATTAAGATAATAAGATATATTTTATAATAGCGAATTTACCTTCCTCTCGATTCTTCAAACTGGATTTTTCTTAGTAATTTCCGAAGACTGACGACGACGAGCTTGTCGTCTAAGAAGCAAGCTGTCGACGGCCGGGAAATTGTAAACGAACTTAATTGACCATGTGCTTTCGCGCGTAGTAGCTTTCGCAAGGAAACAAGTTCGAAGCTTACAGTAGATACGAAGCTTTCGTCCGCACGAAGGGTGGCTGAAAGGAAAACTTTCCTCTGTTTTCTCTTGTTCATCCCTTCGTCAGGGTTTTCACGTTGTCTTCTCTCTCTTTTTCTTTCTTCTTTTTTTCTCTCTCTCATTCTCTTCCGTTTCTCTCATGATTTTCTCACGCCCGCACCCTTCATCTTTTTTGTCATTCTCGTTGAAAAAGTTGGTTCGACAGCGTTAAGTGGCGGAACAGTTCGTCAAGCTGCATATCAGGCCGTTACGAAGGTTCCGATACGCAAAACTTACGGCTTGCCACCGTAACTTTGCACTTTCTTTGTCAGTCGGGTAAGAAACTCGATTACGAAATCGCGGCGAGAGAAAGTTGGGACGATATCACGCGCACGCGACACCGTAACTTTAAAACTGCCTTCGTGAGCCCTTTCTCTGTTGCCGCACATGTGAATAGTTTCTTCCAGACACTAAACAGACATTTTACGTTGACGAGATAAATTGTCTGAAATTATAATATTTCTCACAAGTTGGTCAAATAATTTAGTTAGAATAGAGATACTTATATGCATGGCTGTTTTAGAAATACAGTTATAAAGCTCTTTAATTTATTTAACATTTACATTTAACATTTGCCATTTTAATATTTACATATTAACATTATTTATTTATATAATAATTTATTTTTTTATTGATTTTTTATTATTTTTTATATATTTTTATTTTTATTTTTTTATTTATTTTTTAAAATGCAATTTACAACGCTTTAAAAAATTAATTAAAATTTATTTTATTCGCGTTTCTCGCAATTATAATCGTGGTTTATCTTGGATAGAAAAGACTATAAAATTATATTGCAGTTCTTATAATCTTTTTTACAAAGAATGTTCTTTCATGAAATCGTACACTCGTTACAAACGTGACCGCGAATTTATAAGATGAAACTGACAAATTTATGAGCAGGCTTTCTTCAGAGAGGCAACGGTATCGATAGTCAGCAAAAATGCGTTCAAGATTTCTCGCAAAGTTTTCAAAGGCTTATATCCACTCGGTACAGTAAACTCAAAAGAATAAAACCGACAGGAGATTCGTTTGGACGCGTACTGGCAACCATTGCGGCTAGCCGCGTATGTTCCATTGAAAGTTTTAGTACGCCGATCGAATCCACGGAACAAAAGGAAAAATACGACCGCGTACATATGAGCAGATTCCAAACTTCTTATTCATACTTTCGATTGCGATTGTCTCCCCAAAGAAGAATCCAATAATAAATTTCTCAAAAGCGCGATCGTGAAGAAAAATGGCGATTAAAAGAAATCTCTAAAGAAACATTTATATCTGACGAAAAATTTGTAAGCTAACATAAAATGTCAGTGCAAAAATTATCCAAAATCTTGCAATTTGCTTTACTTAATCCATTAGCAGCTAATATCTTATTTTTAAAACAAAATTTTATTTACGTAAGAAAGTAAAATGATTCTAATAATAATAAATAATTTTCTTTCGAGTTTTCGTAGCAATTTCTCAACATTAAATTATTAACTATTTATTATTCTAATATTAATCTGAGAAAAATAAGAATTGTAGGATTTAAAATACTAAAATTCTGTATTTTATAATTACTATCTTTAATAAGTTTTTTCTCCATTAACATATCCACAAATTCTTTTATTATATTATTTATACACAACTTTATTTGAACATTTTATACACTACTTTTGCATAAAAAATAATAAAATAAAGCTAAAAAGTTGCGGATCTTTTCTATTCAAAGATGACTATTCTTTTCGAGCCCAACGTAGCATCCACTTCCTACAGTGCATCCGCATCGCGAGACAAACAAAAACAAACGAGCGCGCGTTGCAAGGCCGGTCGACGGCAAGCAAATTCGCTCGCGGGTTTCAGTTAAAACAGCTGGACGGACGAGAAGAAAGATCGAGGTGTTCGCCGGCTTGAGAAAAGCGCAGCTGTGCCGGGCAACGGTGGCAAGAGCGCTTAAATCCTTGAAAAAGGGGAATGGGATTTTTTGTCGGTTCTGACGCGCTCTTGGCTATCGTTGTCTCTTGGGAATCACCCTCTTCCCGTCTCCTAGCCGCGCCTCACTTCTACCGAGCTTAAAATTATTTTTATCCATGACGAGGAAAAAGACTCTCTCTTTCTCTCTCCCTTTCTCTTCTTAGCAGCATCTTATTTCTTTCTTTCTTCTTTCTTTATGTTGCTCACGTTTTTCCGGCTGCAATCCGCCGAGGAAGGATTCTCGACCCTTCTCTTTATTTGTCTCCGGCAGATAATTAATTTCTGACTCAAAGAACGCGCCGCGAAACTCGTCCGCTTATTTTCGCGTTTTGCCGAATTCTTCACTTTGAGTGGCACAATTCAAGAGATCTAAGATAGGAGAATTCGATATGTAATAAGAAACATTTTTAATATAAATAAAATAAGACACGCAATTATAGAAGTGGAAAAAACCTGCTGATGGAAACGTAGTAAAAATATTTTTAGACAATTTATCTCGCGTAACATAAATTTACCATAATTTATCACACTTTATCACATTTAATTACAGTTATAACAAGAGACATTTTTATCATAGATTAAAAATATAGCGTCTTTTGAATTGGAATTTATGTTGATTCTTGTTGTCACTTTTTATTTCGAGAAAAATAACAAGAAATATTTGATCAGTAATCCTGTCTTAATATCGCTTCCTTTTCTGGTCTTTATCTCTTTTGTAACGTTATATTTTCTTCAGTATCGGAGCGGATCTTCTCCTACTCGGGCTAATTGTTCCGAAATTAAAGAACGAGCGGAAAAAAGAGCCTTTGACGAAATTGCGCGTTCTCGGCATTAAGACGCTGTAATCCGATGAGCCTCTCTCTGCGTTATTTGTTTAATACTCTTTTCTACTTCCCCGTTCTTTCCCTCGAGAATGCTTTTCACTCTCGGTATTCCACGAACATTCGTTATGCCGTTATCTCATATCTCTCGTAAGCTCCTTCCGCGAGCGACAACGAGTCCGGCTGCCGGCGCGCGGCGCTTCTGGATAAAATTCTCCACGACTTCTTCCATTCTCGTTCCCGCAATAGAACCCACGACGGACGCTATTAACGTAATTAGTCCCAAGGGAAAGAGAGAGAGAACGTGTCAAGCAAAGCTCTTTACCTCACGGCCATTAACAAAGACCCCCTTCTCCAGTAGCTCTGCTCAAATTTCTTCAAGTTCTTGGAGCATTTCTTGCGAGCGGCATGGGTGCTCTGCTCTTTTTTAAAGACCAAGACGAAAGTGGAACGACCTCAGTAATGTGCTCTCTTGCACATTTTTCCATCGTACTGCTAGCGCGCCTCGTTTTCAGGAATAACGAACTCGCGCGGTTGATTAAGCTCCGTCTTATTCTCATTTTCGTATGGACATTGCGTTTCGCTATTTTTTCCGCGTTATTTTCTTTCAGAGGTACGGTGCATTTGATATAATTAATGCCGCGAAAGAGAAATCCGAAATTTTGTTTTCCACTTTTAGCAATATTTCATCT